CCCTTCTTGTGACTGTCGAATTTGTATAGCGCCTCACAATCCTCGCACATAACATAGCACTGCTATCATCCTCTTTTACCACTTCAACAAATCTTCTCCTAACTTTACTTTTCTGGCCCTCCCTTCTCTTTATTTTCAACTCTCCATTTCGCAGCATTTCTCTTATTGAATTAAACTCTGTGGATCGACCTGAACTTTTCTGCCATTCCCGAAAGCATTTGGCATGTAGGCTTTTTGACGCGCATACAGTTAGGCCCTAAAGCTTAGGTTTACGCACTAATGCCAGAAAGCCTAAAATAATGAGAAAAAAACCCTCAATGTAGCCTATAGATAAAAATTGCACAAGAATGATACATTTATGGATTTTGTAAAGTATTGTTTTCTCTTTATTCAACTCGCCCGCCACCCACCTGCCTTTCATCCACACAATATTTAATGACCCTAAACCCGCCCACGGTGACGGCGGGTTATGAGTCAACCCGGACATCACTATTCTGTTGACCGTCTTTTGTATTCTGCAGTACTAATGAGAAACAGAGTAAAGGGAGTGACACATAAAGCTCTCATAACGCTTGTTTACTTTGGATCCTCACTATCTTTGTGTGCCAGTCAGAGGCAGGGAGAGGAAGAGGGAGAGGAAGAGGAAGAGGAAGAGGGAGAGTAATGCCTTTTATGCTCTCAGGAATACGTAAAAGATGGAGACTCTTACTCAGAGTGTAGAGAATATCAAAGCAATGACACTCAAGCCCCAAACCACATGAAAAGCTGGTGAGGCGTGCTTGTAATTGTGGTATCATTAGAGAAACCCTGTGAAAGCGAGAGACAGATTATTAACATTCCCATCAACACGAACATGAGATGTTTGCCGTTGTTTAATTACATGCACATATTCACCCCAATGGGATAATTAGGTACATTAAGAACTGCTACAAGAGCACAGATGAGTGAGTAGGTAGGTGAGAGCCATGACAGAATGTTAAATAATTTCTTACTGAACAAACCAACCTCCAAATGGGAAGGATGTGAGTGTGACATCACCACCCCAACATTAGTAGATGTAATTGTTTATCTACCAAACAAATCATAAACTTGAATTTAAGGTACATTTTCACTTACTCCATTGACCTCAATGTATGACTATGTTAAAATTCGACTTGAGGAAATTAGTATTCGCTTAGATTGGGTGATACAGTATGTCATAGGGTTTGGTAGTCAACTTCTAAAAAGATAATTGACTGAGTAGCTTTCAGATAACAGATAAACAGGACTCAGAAATGGCACTGGGCGGGGGCCTCCTCAGTGGCACAGTGGTCTAAGGCACTGCATCGCAGTGGTTGAGGCGTCACTACAGACCCGGGTTCGATCCTGGGCTGTGTCGCAGCCTGCTGCGACTGGGAGACCCATGAGGCGGCGCACAATTGGCCAGCGTCGTTCGGGTTAGTGGAGGGTTTGGCTGGCCGGGATGTCCTTGTCCCATCGCGCTGTAGCGACTCCTGTGGCGGGCCGGGTGCATGCACGCTGACACGGTCGCCAGTTGCACGGTGTTTCCTCCGACACATTGGTGCGGCTGGCTTCCAGGTTATGCGAGCAGTGTGTCAAGAAGCAGTGCGGCTTGGCAGGGTCGTGTTTCGGAGGACATATGGCTCTTGACCTTCGCCTCTCCCGAGTCCGTACGGAAGTTGCAGCGATGGGACAAGACTGTAACTACCAATTGGATATCACGAAAAAGGGGTAAAAAATCTATATAAATACAATTTAAAAAATGGCACTGGGCTTAAGAACTCTTCTGCTGCGGCACCAGTTGCATAACCGCTGAAGACCTCTAAAGTCTGAAGTGTCTAATAAGTTAGCTGCCTTGTGCCATCTTTAGCCTGATTCTTAGAGTGATTGAGCCGAGGAGCCTTGTGCTTGGTAACACAAACACCAGCATGGTGTCTCTCAGAGAGACTGAGCAGAGGAGCCCTGCGCCTGCTTGGTGACACACATAGCCCCTGATTGAGAAAGATCCTGACTTAACATGCCACAGAGAATAAATACTTAACAGCACCGTCCTCATCCTCCATCCTCCCTTCCGAGGCATCAGAGATTTATGAAACGCCAGCGGAAGCCTTGACAGTCAGGAACATTCATAAGGTTACTCTCCTAGTCTCCGGGCTAATGCTTTCAGTGTCGCAGAATTGTTGTGTGTCTGGCCCGTCATCCTCATTCATGTTTTATGGAACAGGTTGCCTATTCAAATGTATTCAGATTTCACCTCAGATGTGTTCTGCCAAGAGGCACAGTCATAATGCTGTGATGTGAAAGCTTTGCCGGTCTTGTTTGATGATGGCCTTTATATCACTTTGTTACTTTGTTTTTGTTCATCATAGCCTCTGTCTGGTTTTCATTCCATCAATCAATCAAATAAATGTATTTTATAAAGCTCTTTTTACATCAACAAAGTGCTTTACAGGTATAGTAAGTCCCCTGTAGCTCAGTTGGTAGAGCATGGCGTTTGCAACGCCAGGGTTGTGGGTTCGTTTCCCACGGGGGGCCAGTATGAAAAATGTTTATGCACACACTAACTGTAAGTCGCTCTGGATAAAAGCGTCTGCTAAATGACTAAAATGTAAATGTAAATATCCACTGGGCACAAACTGGTTGAATCAACGTTGTTTCCAAGTAATTTCAACAACAACAAAATTAATGTGATTACGTAGAATCAACATGGAAAACTGATTGGATTTTTATAGAAGTCAACATCATAAAGGAATTTCGGGAATGTTTGTATTTTTTTCACCCAACTTTTAACCTAAATCCAACAACATGCTTCAAATGTTTGTTGATTTCATGTTGAATTCACATTAGTTGACAACTCAATCAAATACAAATCAAAACTGGACGTTGAATTGACGTCTGTGTCCGGCAGGTAGAGAGTACTATATTCATTAAGGTTAAGTGTTTGTACTCTATTTACTGTAACTGAAACACATCAATGTGGAATGGAAGTTGGGATAGCGCCCATATGGTTGTTGTTTGCATTTACCCTTCTAACCATGACCTTGAGATTGCCAAAAGGCCAGTCTCTTTGGCAATGACAAGGAGTGGCAAGGAGTCTTAACTACAGGACATGCTGGTTCAGCGTTCTTCTCTCTAACTCTCTTCTCTCCACCTACTTAATTGCATGATTCCTCTGAAGAGGAGGCTTTTTAGAGCCTTGTTGCTTCTCTATAATATCTGCTTAGTGGTCTGGTTAGGAAAACACTTGGGTGAAAACACAGAGTGTTGCAAGTTCAAATCCCAAAGAGTCCCAACAAGCCCCTTAACGTAAATTGCTATGTAGTCTAAGTAGAGGTTAAAAGAGAGAATAATCTTTATATTTTTTTACTTTATGTCTCTGCATGCAAGTCTAACAATTCAAGTTACTGCAAATAAAATAAAATAAAAAAGTATGTTTTTTGTTATACTTGCATGCAGAGACATTAAAGTAAAAAAATATAAAGATTATTCTGTCAAACTCATTCAGAGAGCAGGGAGCTCAGGTGAATGAATAGTCTGCTCTCAATTCAGAAAGAGACCAACTACTACACACAAAAGGTTTCTGACTCAGAGAGACAAGCTACTGTACGTTCATAAGAACCAGCAAACAGGAAACGGGGAGGAGAACCACTGAGCAACAAAAACAGGTGTCACACACACACGTTTATACAAGTTAACTCAGGAAGCCGGACATCAAAATGTAAAACTGTAGGCTACAATACATCGACCATGAAGAATGAGGAGGGATTATCAGGATGGAATCACGTTAAGATACTATTTTCTGAATAGCAAACAGAGATTTACTGTATATCATCACAAATAAGATTAGACTAGCAAGATTATCAACCAAGCGCCTCTGGATATTAATTTATCAAACAGTGATAAATGTGAGTATGAAAGTGAGGGAACCAATTCCTCCAGAGACACAAGACCAACTCTAGCCCCCCTCTTTGGAGGACAACTGTAGACAATTTTTAGAGGAGTAGCTAGAAATCATCTGAGCAACTCCAATTCCCTGATTTCCCCCCTTTTTTTGTTGTTGAAAGATAACACTTTTCCAGACAACCACCCGCTCTGGTCTCCATCCTCTCTTCTCATATCAGCAAGCCAAGGTCAGAGCAGCTCATCTCAGTCAAACAGGGTTGGCATGGAGACCACAGTGTCTGCACCTGCAGCACCAGAGAGCATGTCCTCACAGTGTAAACCAAGAGCTCCTGCTCCCCATAGACAAACCGGGTCACAGCCATGATAGCATCAGAGAGAGAAACCTGCCAAGTGTGCTCCACAGAGCCAAATGTCCCTCTCTTTCTCTCTCCCTCCTAGAGTGTTGTGCTCTCACTTTCTCTTTCTCTCTCTCCTTTATAGGGGTGCTGGGATTTTCTTGTCAAGTGCACTACTTTCGTGAAAACATTTTTTTTCAAAATATATATATATACTTCCTGCAGCTATGGTTGTTCTCTCTCTCTCCCTGAGTGGGGTTCTCTCTCTCGTAGTCTTTCTCTCCCTTACACTCTCTCACACTTTCATTCATTCGCCTTCACCCCCCACCCTCAAATCTTTTCACCTTGTCACTTCCACTCACTCTGTTACTTCTCTCTCTCACACACACACACTATACTTTTGTTCCCCTTTATTACACTCTCATGCCATCTTAGTCATCCACTCACTACTCTGACTCCCTCGCTAGCTATCATCCTCTCCCCCCTCCATTATGGTTCAGTGCAGGCACATCTGGCCAAATGGCACATAGGTTATGTCCTGCCAGCATCTTCAAGGCAGGAGGCTCTGCCACCAGACAAGACAACATCTGGCCATCAGGAACTGACACACTACACTCTTGGCTGCCTCTACACCTATCATCATTGTGCAAATCAAGATGAATACATTTATTCGATTTCACTGCAAGCTATTGCACAACTTGGCCATGACTGCAGCTATTGCGGGCCACTGCTTGGTAAAGGAAAGGTGATAGAAGATAGAGGTTAAAAGAGAGAAGTCCTTACCTGCCAGAATATACTGTCTATCGTGCTCCCCAGGAAGCCCTCCCTGGTTTCAGACAACAGGAGCTTGGGTCCCAGGATCGTCATGAACTCATCGAAGTCCACCTGCCCGTCTCCTAAGAAATTCACAAAGAAAGTTTTATTGCAAATCAGTAAGAAGGACAATAACTGTATTTTATACCAAGTCTTCATTTGAGTAGGTATTCTTTCCCTTCAATACCTCTTCTCTCTCCTCCCTCATCTTCCTCATTTCCCTGCAGAAGAGGTTGTGTGCTGCCCATGCAGGGCGACTCAATCTGCCTCTTCACTCCTCCTCTCCTCCCTCTACCCTGACGGGGGTGAACTCCTTAGGGCACGCTGGCACTATCACGTTTGATGCCATCAATTGTCCTTCTCTGTGCCCATGCATATGCAGTGGCATCCTGCCTCATCACTGGGGACAGTCAGGCAGTGCAGCCAGTGTGGTCAGGGCCCCTGAGCTATCGTGATGGATGGATGAATGGATGGATGGACGGATCTGATTTAAACCAAAAACACTTCCTAACAAAAGCAGCTGATGCCAGGCATCATGTTTTACGAGCATAACACCCCTATATAAAGCAAAGGAGCAATTTCAATGCTGAGATCTCCAAAGACCACAAGCTCCTAAGCAATCCACCAAGGGCATTCTGCTGAGCTGGATAACAATCTGATGGATCGCTCTGACAGTGGAACAGATTATCAGATCAACTCAATGAGTCCATCCATATCTTATAGAGATCAGCTGGACTGTTGCAGCTGCTGCTCAGAGAGAAAGAATCAATGGCCATCCGTGAATGTGTCACGTGTCTAATTCACACAGCTGCTAGCTTGACAAAGACACAATAAACACCCTCAAATCCCAATTATCTGGTCATGTACCTGGCTATGGATACCTCCTCCGTTTGATCACCATGATATTTTGTGTTGCGTCTATAGACATGAAAATGAGACGAGATTGAGGCAAATTGCTTTGAACAGAACACAAATTGATGTTTTGAGAACATCTCTCACTGTAATGATAGAGAGGTAATTGTGACGAGGTGTGAATGAAGGAGTCAGGCGCAGGAGGTAAAATACCGAAGTCCAGAGTTTATTCTGTTTACATAAATCAAAGGCCCCAAGCGTCAAACGAAACTATACAAGGGAAAAACATCCACCTTGGCATCAACACAGTGAATAGTAGCTCAACCGAGCTACATGCTCTCACAACAAACAATCACTCACAAAGGGGAACAGATTTGTAGTCTGGACTTCGGCATCAGACACTTATACACATACTAATTAGAGGAATGAGCACCAAGTGTGTGTGATTGACAAGACATGACAAGTGGAGTGATGAGAATGGGATCGGCAGTAGCTAGTACTCCGGTGACGACGAACGCCAAAGCCTGCCCGAACCAGGAGGGGGGGGGGGGGGGGGGGCAGCCTCGGCGGAAGTCGTGATAGTACCCCCCCCCCCGACGCACGGCTCCAGCAGTGCGCCGACCCCTGCCTCGGGGACGGCCAGGAGGACGCGGAGCAGGGCGAGTCAGATGGCGACGGTGGAAATCCCTCAACAGGGAGGGATCGAGGATGTCCCGCCTCCGGACCGTACCCCTCCCACTCCACGAGATACTGAAGGCCCCCCACCCGACGCCTCGAATCCAGGATGGAACGGACCGTGTACGCCAGGGCCCCCTCAATGTCCAGAGGAGGTGGAGGAACCTCCCGTACCTCAGACTCCTGGAGCGGACCAGCTACCACTGGCTTGAGGAGAGACACATGAAACGATGGGTTAATACGGTAATCAGGGGGAGTAACAACCTGTATGTCACCTCGTTTATTCTCCTCAGGACTTTAAACGGCCCCACAAACTGCGGGCTCAGCTTCCGGCAGGGCAGGCGGAGGGGCAGATTCCGGGTCGAGAGCCAGACCCGATCCCCCGGTACGAACACCGGGGCCTCCCTGCGGTGGCGGTCAGCGTTGGCCTTCTGACGACGCACGGTTGGTAACCCAAAACAAATTGGAAGGGTGTTAGGTTAGTGGAGGAGTGGCGGAGAGAGTTCTGAGCATATTCTGCCCATGGCAGGAACACCGACCACTCCCCCGGCCGGTCCTGACAGTAGGTCCGCAGGAACCTACCCACATCTTGATTTACCCTTTCCACCTGCCCATTACTCTCGGGGTGAAATCCAGAGGTCAGGCTGACCGAGATCCCCAGACGTTCCATGAATGCCTTCCAGACTCTAGAAGTGAACTGGGGACCTCGGTCGGACACTATATCCTCTGGTACCCCGTAGTGCCGGAAGACGTGAGTAAACAGAGCCTCCGCAGTTTGTAGGGCCGTGGGGAGACCGGACAGAGGAAGGAGGCGGCAGGACTTTGAAAAGCGGTCCACAATGACCAGGATATTGGTGTTACCTTGGGAGGGGGGAAGATCAGTGAGAAAATCAATACTCAGGTGAGACCATGGTCGTTGTGGAACTGGTAAAGGTTGTAGCTTACCTGCTGGGAGGTGCCTAGGTGCCTTACTCTGGGCGCACACTGAGCATGAGGAAACATACACCCTCACGTCCTTAGTCAAGGTAGGCCACCAGTACTTCTCGATCAGGCAAAGCATTGTACAACCGATACCTGGATGACCAGAGGAGGGTGACGTGTGTGCCCAGTAGATCAGACGATCACGGATAAGCGCAGGCACTTACTGCAGCCCAGCTGGACACTGCGGTGGAATTGGATCTGTGCGTAATGCCTGCGCTATATCTGCGTCCATCGCCCATACTACCGGCGCCACAATGCATGAGGACGGGAGTATGGGGGTGTTGTCTCTGGGCCTCTCCTCTGTGTCATACAGTCGAGACAGTGTGTATGCCTTCACGTTCTTCGTACCCGGAATGTATGAGAGTGTGAAATCAAACCGGGTGAAGAAGAGGGCCCACCTGGCCTGGCGAGGATTCAGCCTCCTCGCTGCCTGAATGTACTCCAGGTTACGGTGGTCTGTCCAGACGAGGAAAGGGTGTTTCGCCCCTTCGAGCCAATGTCTCCACACCGACAAAGCTCGGACAACAGCTAGCAGCTCCCGATCACCAACGCCGTAGTTCTGCTCCGCCGAGCTGAGCTTCTTAGAAAATAAGGCACAGGGGCGGAGCTTGGGTGGCGTGCCTGAGCGTTGGGATAAGACAGCTCCTATCCCTACCTCGGACGCATCCACCTCCACTACGAACGCTAGTGGAAGCGCTGCACCTCCTTTAAGCCAAGGAAGCGCTGCACCTCCTTTACCGTGGTTGGAGTCGGCCAATTACGCACGGCTGCAATGCGGTCTCCCTCCATCTTCACACCTGTGGTGGTAATGCGATATCCGAGGAAGGAGATTGACTGCTGGAAAAACTCACACTTCTCTGCCTTGGCATAAAGATCATTTTCCAGCAGTCGGACCAGTACCTTGCGAACCAGGGACACATGCTCGGCGCGCGTAGCGGAATACACAAGGATGTCCTCAATGTAGACCACCACACCACGACCAAGCATGTCCCAAAACACAAAGGACTGAAAAACGGATGGAGCATTCATCAAACTGTAGGGCATCACCAGGTATTCATAATGCTGAATGCTGTTTTCCACTCATCCCCTTCCCGAATATGCACCAGGTTGTAGGCACTCCTGAGGTCTAATTTGGTGAAAAAGCAGGCCCCATGCAATCACTGAAGGAATGAGGGGAAGAGGATAACTAAATTGTACCGTCACATTATTCAGTGGTCGATAATCAATGCACGGGTGTAAACCGCCATCTTTCTTCTTCACAAAGAAGAAACTCAAGGAGGCAGGTGAAGTGGAGGGACTTATATACCCTTGGCGCAGGGACAAAGAAGAAACTCAAGGAGGCAGGTGAAGTGGAGGGACTTATATACCCTTGGCGCAGGGACTCGGTGACGTATATTTCCATAGCCTCCGTTTCAGCCTGCGACAGGGGATACACATGACTCCTGGGAGGTACAGCGTCTACCCGAAGGTTTATCGCGCAATCCCCTTCCAGATGAGGTGGTAATTTAGTCGCTTGCGTCTTGAAAACGCGAGCACCAGATCATGGTATTCGGGGGGAATGCGCACGGTGGAGGTACCGTCTGGACTTTCCACCATGGTCGCACCAACGGAAACACCTAGATACCTACCCGGACACTCACGCGACCACCCCGTAAGAACCCTCTGCGGCCATGAGAAATTGGGGTTGTGAAGGGCTAACCACAGTATACCCAAGACTACAGGGTAAGCAGGAGACTCAATAATCATAAAGGTGATCTGCTCAACATGCGTCTCCTGCGTAATCATGGTGACTGGTACCGTAACTTCCTTAACCAACCCGGAACCCTAATGGTCGACTATCAAGTGCTCTGATGGGGAGTGGAATGGTTAGGGGAACCAATGAAATGCCTTGACGGCATGCAAATGCCCTGTCCATAAAATTCCCAGCTGCGCCTGAATCGACTATTGCCTTACACTGGGAACCTACCAAGTAATTAGGAAAGGAGATAGATAAAGTACAGTGCGCCGCAAAGGGCTCTGAACACGTTTGGGTGTTTGTTACCTGGGGTGATGCGTGAGTACCCTGCCTACCGCCTCCAGACCCAAAAAAACGTTGACTGCGACGTGAGGTGGATTGTCCCTTCGTGCCACCCGAGTGGCACTGTCGCTGTCTTCCTGCGCTCTCTCGACCGGCGGCTCCCCCCAGCTCCATCTGCTCGGGGTCAGAGTCATCCGGCGTGGGAACGGGCAGACCCCTACCAGGACGTCCTCTGGCTGCTAGCAGATTGTCCAGCCGGATGGCCATGTCCACCAGTTGGGAGAACGATAGCATGGCATCCCGGCAGGCTAGCTCCCATCGGACATCCTCCCTTAGGTGGCACTGGAAATGTTTGATCAGGGCCCGCTCGTTCCACCCGGACCCCGCTGCCAGCGTCTGGAACTCCAGCGCGTAGTCCTGAGCGGTCCTCGTCCCCTGCCTCAGATGAACCAGTCGTTTGCCCGCCTCGCGACCCTCAGGCGGGTGATCAAAAACGGCCCGAAAGAGGCGAGCAAACTCCCCGTAGTTCTCCAACGCGGTACCTCCCTTGTTCCACACCGCGTTGGCCCACTCCAGGGCTCTCCCACAAAGGCAGGAAACGAGGACGGATACCTTCTCCCGCTCCCGGGGCTCCGGCCTGATGCTGGAGAAATACAACTCCAGTTGGAGTAGGAATCCCTTCAATCGTGCTGCCGTCCCATCAAACGTCGGTGGCCGGGATATCTGGATCCCTCCAGGGGTTGGGGTGTAGGTGGCTGGATCCGGTTGACCAGCTGGTCTCGATAGATTGGATCCTCTCCTCTCCAGGCGTTCTACCACCTGAAGAACCCAATCCATCGCTTCCCCCAAGCTGGCCAACATCGAGGAATGCTCCTGGACCCTTGCCACAACTCCAGGCATGCGGTCTTCTCCTGCTGACTCCATATCAGATCGGGTGAGTGATTCTGTGACGAGGTGTGAATGAAGGAGTCAGGCGCAGGTGGTAAAATACCGAAGTCCAGAGTTTATTCTGTTTACATAAATCAAAGGCCCAAAGCATTAAACGAAACTATACAAGGGAAAACATCCACCTTGGCATCAACACAGTGAATAGTAGATCAACCGAGCTACACGCTCTCACAACAAACCATCACTCACAAAGACAAGGAGAACAGAGGGAACACTTATACACATACTAATTAGGGGAATGAGCATCAGGTGTGTGTGATTGACAAGACATGACAAGTGGAGTGATGAGAATGGGATTGGCAGTAGCGACGAACGCCGAAGCCTGCCCGAACCAGGAGGGGTGCAGCCTCGGCGGAAGTCGTGACAGTAATAGCAACAACAATCCAGCCAACCCTTCTTATCTTGGCCAGTGTTTATCTCCTTCTGAAGGAGTGTCCTCACTCAGTCACAGCAAGTAAAATCAACTGACAATTTCAAAGGCATCGCAGATGAAAATGGTCCTCCAGTCTCCCCATCTACCAAACCAACATGGACTCATACATTGATTGCTGTCACACCTCAGTGTGTACAAGCAATATCTATAACAAATATGACAGATAGGGGCTCCTAGATGTTCTAACTTGTCATAGCAGGAGACGAAAGCGGTATTTCAAGCAAACCTTCAATTTGACAGCAGGTATACTTTAATAGTAGGGGAGGATAAATTGTTTTGCTAATCATTCTTATCTGGAGTGGAGAGGCAATAGGAAGCAGTCCACAACCTTGAGCATTCAGTTATGAGCTTTCTATCTTCCTCTGAGACCAGTCCACTACAGTTTTTCTAGAAATTCTGCCAAACAAAACAAACAAACAACAAACATTTGAGTGGAGAATACAAGCTAAACAAGAGATTAATGAGTGAAAAACGTGATGAATATTTCTCCAATTATCCAGTGTTTTGACACATCTAATGATTCCACAGAAGGTGCCGGCTTCCAATTGAAGAGTTTATTTCCAAAACACTATATCCACCAATTTGTCAAGTTTTTTCATCAGAAATGATTGGTTATGGGTACCTTCACGTGTACCAATGTGTTATTGTTCTCAGATTTTTTAATTCCGAGATTTTAGATGTGTATGAAAATGTGTTTGCAAAACGCTATCCTATTTTCATTATTTAGCTGGAATGGAAAGTTCCTGTATATTTGACTGTGGTTGTCTCACCTAGCTATCTTAAGATTAATGCACTAATACTGTAAGCCATTCTGGATAAGAACATCTGCTAAATTACGAAACGTTTTACATCCAGATCTCATATTACTGTATTGAAAACATTAGCAAAATGTTTTTTATTTTTTATATTGATGTCACAAATGTATAATTTGTACAGTTCTTTATCAAAAATGTAGTTATCTTTTACATTTGACTGTGTAAATCTTAGCAGTACTACTTATTTCTCTGAGAGTTAGGCGGATACATTGCTATGAAAAAGTATTTGCCCCCTTTCTAATTTTCTCTACTTTTGCATATTTGTGATCCTGAATGTTATCAGATCTTCAACGAAAACCTAATATTAGATAAAGGGAACATAAGTGAACAAATAACACAACAATTACATATTTATTTCATAAACAAAGTTATGCAACACCCAATTCCCCTGTGTGAAAAAGTAATTGCCCCCTTACACTCAATAACTGCTTGTGCAACCTTTAGCTCACAGACGGATGGTCTGACATTCTCCTGTAGAATTCTCTGATACAGAGCAGAATTCATGGTTCCTTCTATTAAGGCAAGTCGTCCAGGTCCTGAGGCAGCAATGCATCCCCAAACCATCACACCACCACCACCATGCTTGACCTTTGGTATGATGTTCTTACTGTGGAATGCAGTGTTTGGTTTTCGCCAGGCATTACTGGAACCGTGTCGTCCAAAAAGTTATACTTTTGAATCATCTGTCCATAGAACGTTCTTCCAAGAGTCTTGATGATCATCCAGGTGCTTTTTGGCAAACTTGAGTAAACTTTTTGGACGAGATGGGTCCCATTATGCCTGGCGAAAACCAAACACTGCATTCCACAGTGCAGCTGGGTCATGCAGCAAGACAGTGATCCAAAACACACAATCAAGTCTACATGAAAATAGCTAAAAAGCAACAAATTTGATGTTTTGGAATGGCCTAGTCAAAGTCCAGACCTAATCCCAATTGAGATGTTGTGGCAGGACTTGAAACGAGCAGTTCATGCTTGAAAACCCACATGTCACTGAGTTAAAGCAGTTCTGCATGGAAGAGTGGGCCAAAGTTCCTCCACAGCGACGTGAGAGACTGATCAACAACTACAGGAAGCATTTGGTTGGAGTCATTGCAGCTAAAGGTGGCACAACCAGTTATTGAGTGTAAGGGGGCAATTACTTTTTCACACAGGGGAATTGGGTGTTGCATAACTTTGTTTATGAAATAAATGAAATAAATATGTAATTGTTGTGTTATTTGTTCACCAATGTTCCCATTATCTAATATTAGGTTTTGGTTGAAGATCTGATAACATTCAGTATCACAAATATGCAAAAGTAGAGAAAATTAGAAAGGGGGCAAATACTTTTTCATAGCACTGTATGTAGCATTTAGCACAAAAACATGATTATTTGTCTCTCTGAAATGAAACCATCAAGTGATAGATTTTAAACAAATACATGTATGTCATTGAACAACCCCATGCCATGATTAGATAGTGAAAAAACACACCAATCTCTTTGGTAATTTCTTTCAAACAATAAAAGCAAATTTACCAACATTTCTGAAACTGTATAGCGTTTTGGAATGAAACTCTTCAATTAAACCTGAAGCAACAATATGTTCATGCCTACTGCAATTCCAATTACTTCAATATGTCAATTAGAAATATGAATATCCATGCTGTCAGCAGTGTGCAAACCCGGCTTCGGTTCTCTGCTTCTCTCAAAATAGGAGTCTGGTTGATTTCTAATTTCCTTGAGTCAGTAGGTGAGCTGCTGACTGTGAACTACGAGGACAAAGTCAAGGAAAAAACAGATAAACAAAGGTCAGGGGTCAGAGGTTAAAGGTGAGATGGGGTGTTGTGCTACAGTAGCAGATTTCAGCTGATGTAGATCTTCTCTGGTAGGTCACAGCATGGATGGCTTCAGTACAGAAACCACAGGTACCCTGTGTGACCTACTGTAATCGTGTGTGTGCGCGTGTCAGCGTAAATATGTGCAATACGGTTCATTAAGATGAAATGGAGCAAGGGACCACTGCCAACATGTTACACATCGACAGCTTAGAGAGATATTGCTACAGTGGGACTATGGGATATGTTAAGTGCTCCTCCGGTGTGTGTTTGGATAGTAGGATCCTTCATGCTTATTTAAAGTGTAAAGTGGAGGTTGTGATATGAAAGTATGGTGCGAATGAGTGCACATTACTGTGTGCATGTAATGTACTGTATGTACATGTAAATGTGTGTGCATAATGGTGAATGAGCACTCATGTCAATGTATGTGATTATGTAGTCATATGTAGGCCCATGTGTATGAATGTGTAAAAAAGGAAGAGCGGGATCTATTTATGTATATGTGTGTGTCTGATAGTGTGTATATGACCTTTTCCATGTCTTTGTGTGTGCGTGATCATGGTGTGAAAACAGGAGGGAAGGGATCTGATCATGTTTAAATATGTGTGTGTGCGTGTAACAGAGTGGGTCCTGTTCCTGTCTCTCACTGGACTTGAACATGGGACCTTCTGTTACACGTGCAACTGCATGTGTCTGTGTACTGTACATTTGTGAAATGTGTACTGAAGGTGACTCACCATCCATGTCTAGTCTCTGCATGATGATGGCCAGCTCCACCTCACTGGGCATGTATCCCAGCGACCTCATGGCCATGCCCAGCTCCTGCTTGGAGATGAACCCGTTCCCATCCCTGTCCAGCACTCTGAATGCCTCCCGGATCTCTGTCAACACAAACACACACAAGGAGAAGGGAATGGAGGGGAGAGGAGAGGATCCACAATAGTTAGGGATTATTTAGCTATGTGCCTTAGCTCAAGAACAATGCAAATTACATCTGCAATAACCTGCAGGCAACTTTAATGGTGGTGACAAATAAGCTTGCCCTGTGTGTACGGCAAGCCGCTGTACTGTGTCTGTGCTTCTCCTTCCCTTCAGTTTGTAAGATACCCATCAGTATCGAGCCTAAAAGTCAGCAGGCTCCTTTGTGCTTTTATGAATTCATATTTCATTAGTGTGTCTACAGAGAAAAGAGGGCTTATGGCAGTGAGCAGGGCGAGAGAGACAGAGAGAGACAGAGAACAACCCATAAGAGAGCTGGCCACCCCCGCAGAGAAGCCAGCAGAACAACCCACCTCAGATCCTGACCAAAGTCTGGACACCACAGCAGGACAGATAAATGAAGAACCCCAAGCCCAGGGGATACCACCCCCTCTGAGCTCCCCCCTGTCAGCCATCCTGATAGCCCTCCTGACACCCCCCCCCCCCCCCCCCCCCCCCCCCCACACTGAGGACATACACAAGCCACAGATTGTACTCCTTATGGACTCAAACGGGAAATATATACAAGAAAATATACTTTTCCCCAAACACACAGTGTCTAAACTCTGGTGTCCAAACACCCAGCTCGCCCTAGACCTTCTGTCTGAGGACCAACTAGGGTCACCCAGCCACATAATAATAAACACAGGCACAAACGACCTGAGAGCACAGCAGGAAATGGTGGCCACAGCACTCAAGGGAGTGATTGAAAAAGCTTCTTCTACTTTCCCCAACGCACAAGTGGTTATCTCCACCCTGCTACCATGAAAATACTTCCACCATGCTACCATACAGTGCCCTCCAGGACACCTACAGCACCCGAAGTCACAGGAAATCCAAAAAGATAATCAAGGACAACTACCACCCGAGCCACTGCCTGTTCACCCCGCTATCATCCAGAAGGCAAGGACAGTACAGGTGCATCAAAGCTGGGACCGAGAGACTGAAAAACAGCTTCCATCTCAAGGCCATCAGACTGTTAAACAGCCATCACTAGCACAGAGAGGCTGCTGCCTACATACAGACTTGAAAATCACTGGCCACTTTAATAAATGGAACACTAGTCACTTTAATAATGCCACTTTAATTATGTTTACATTTCTTGTATTACCCATCTCATATGTATATACTGTATTCTATACTATCTTAATAATGTTTACATATCTTGCATTACCCATCTCATATGTATATACTGTATTCTATACTATCTATTGCATCTTAGCCTATGCCACTCTGATAATGACATTGCTCATCCATATATTTATATATTCTTATTCCATTCCTTTACTTAGATTTGTGTGTATTCATTTTTTTTGTGGAACTGTTAGATATTACTTGCTAGATATTGCTGCACTGTCGGAACTACATTTACATTTTAGTCATTTAGCAGACGCTCTTATCCAGAGCGACTTACAGTTAGTGAGTGCATACATACTTTTTTTCTTTTTCATACTGGCCCCCCGTGGGAATCGAACCCACAACCCTGGCGTTGCAAACGCCATGCTCTACCAACTGAGCTACATCCCTGCCGGCCATTCCCTCCCCTACCCTGGACGACGCTGGGCCAATTGTGCGCCGCCTCTTGGGTCTCCCGGTCGAGGCCGGCTACGACAGAGCACAAGCATTTCGCTACACTCACAATAACATCTGCTAACCATGTGTATGTGACCAATACATTTGATTTGATTATTTTATTTGAATTGACTGTGCCTCAAAACCAAATGTTTACCTGGCCCACCACTCCACCCTTTACGACCAGGTCAACCTATTCAAGGAAGCAGTGCCCACCTTCGCCAAAAGGACATCGCCCTCAAACGCAGCCCCAACACCTCACACAGGAGCAACAGATCAACAGACACCCTGCCCAGACCAGCGAGACACTCTCCCAGACCTGCGTCAACAGCAACCTTGGGAAAATCCTCTGCATTATCATTAACAGCAGACTCGTTCATTTCCTCAGTGAAAACAATGTACTGAGCAAATATCAAATTGGCTTTTTACCAAATTACCGTACGACAGACCACGTATTCACCCTGCACACTCTAATTGACAAACAAACAAACCAAAACAAAGGCAAAGTCTTCTCATGCTTTGTGATTTCAAAAAAGCTTTTGACTCAATTTGGCATGAGGGTCTGATATACAAATTGATGGAAAGTGGTGTTGGGGGAAAAACATACAACATTATAAAATCCATGTACAGAAACAACAAGTGTGCAGTTAAAATGAGAAAAGAACACACACATTTCTTTCCACAGGGCCATGGGGTGAGACAAGGATGCAGCTTAAGCCCCACCCTCTTCAACATATATATCAACGAATCGGCGAGGGCACTAGAACAGTCTGCAGCACCCGGCCTCACCCTACTAGAATCTGAAGTCAAATGTCTACTGTTTGCTGATGATCTGGTGCTTCTGTCCCCAACCAAGGAGGGCCTACAGCAGCACCTAGATATTCTGCACAGATTCTGTCAGACCTGGGCCCTGACAGTAAATCTCTGTAAGACAAAAATAATGGTGATCCAAAAAAGGTCCAGTTGCCAGGACCACGAATACAAATTCCATCTAGACAATGTTGCCCTAGAGCACACAGAAAACGATACATACCTCGGCCTAAACATCAGCGCCACAGGTAACGTCCACAAAGCTGTGAATGATCTGAGAGACAAGGCAAGAAGGGCCTTCTATGACATCAAAAGGAACATAAAATTCGACATACCAATCTGGCTAAAAATACTTGAATCAGCTATAGAACCCATTGCCCTTTACAGTTGTGAGGTCTAGGGTCTGCTCACCAACCAAGAATTCACAAAATGGGACAAACACCAAATTGAGACTCTGCATGCAGAGCAGAATTAGGCCGATACCTGCTAATTATCAAAATCCAGAACAGAGCCGTTAAATTCTACAACCACATAAAAGGAAGCGATTCCCAAACCTTCCATAACAAAGCCATCACCTACAGAGAGATGAACCTGGAGAACAGTCCCCTAAGCAAGCTGGTCCTGGGGCTCTGTTCACAAACACAAACAGACCACACAGAGCTCCAGGACAGCAACACAATTAGACTCAACCAAACCATGAGAAAAGAAAAAGATAATTACTTGACACATTGGAAAGAATTAACAAAAAAACAGAGCAAACTAGAATGCTATTTGGCCCTAAACAGAGAGTACACCGTGACAGAATACCTGACCACTGTGACTGACCCAAAATTAAGGAAAACTTTGACTAAGTACAGACTCAGTGTGCATAGCCTTGCTATTGAGAAAGGCCGCCGAAGGCAGACCTGGCTCTCAAGAGAAGACAGGCTATGTGCACACTGCCCACAAAATGAGGTGGAAACTGAGCTGCACTTCCTAACCTCCTGCCAAATATATGACCATATTAGAGACACATATTTCCCTCAGATTACACAGACCCACAAAGAATTCAAAAACAAACCTAGTGTGCCATCACAGCAGCAAGATTTGTGTCCTGTTGCCAAACACCATTGTAAATACAACCCATATTTATGTTAATCGCTTTTGTACTTTAACTATTTGTACATAATATGACATTTGAAATGTCTTTTTTATTTTGGAACTTTTGTGAGTGTAATGTTTACTGTAAATTTTTTGATTGTTTATTTCACTTTTGTTTATTATCTATTTCACTTGCTTTGGCAATGTAAACATATGTTTCCCATGCCAATAAAGCCGTTAAATTGAATTGAATTGAATTGAGAGAGAACTAGAGAGAGAGAGACAGAGATAGAAGGAAAGAGAGAGATGCAGCGAGATTGAAAGAGAGAGAGAGAGAGAGAGAGAGAGGCAGCCACGGGTGTTTTTAAATAGAGGTGGAATGTCAGATCTCTAAAGAACACTATGATTGCATGGTATGCTTCAGCACACTGCTGAACACTGAATAATTTGAGGCTGGGTACTACTGGAATACATAGCTTTAACTCACCAGGACCAGAGAGAGAGAGAGGGAGTCTCCTCACCTCACCCACGACCCAGGCTAACTCAAACATGATTTAAGTCCAAACGTGTCCCAGATATGGGATACAATGTGATACACTTTTTGAGAACACAGGCGCTAACAAGAACATTAATATTACGGGTCCAGTCTTGAAAAGACCATGTCATAAACAGAACATAGTAGTGGTAGAGTTCTTGGCTAAAACCATGAGAAAGAGCAAACAACAGGTTAACTGACACTTATTGTAGTCCAAAGTTAACCCAAGCATTAAGTAAAGTTTCATGCTAGAGGAGACCCGCCCATGCTGCCAATCTTTAGCCTATCATTGGCCAATCACCTGTCAATCATCTGCTGAGAAGCTGTCATTCATCCATAGCCAGTCAGGTGAGTAGGAGTGATTTGGTGCTCTGAGCTGCAAGGAGGACAATGGTGTGTAAATGTAATGATTTTTCTCTATATTTAAATCACCTCGTAAAATGAGAAACAATATTTCGGATCGTTAAAAGCACTCAGATGTTACCGAGGGTTCAGGTTAGTCGTTGTACCAGCCTCTGAACAGTCTTTTGTCATTCCCTGCTTCCCAAAACATCTGGCCCGAGCAAACACACTCAGCCATTATCATTCATAACACAGTACACTCATTTTAGTAAAGAGAACACACACACAAACACACACACAGCACAACACAACAAACAGAGAACAACACAAGCACATCAAAGGTGTATGGATTTATTTTGGTACATTGAAATGAGCGTCTCATGAATAAAACCATCAGGAGGAGCAGAACAGAGCAAAGCAGAGCAGAGCAGAACAGAGCAGAAAAGAGCAGAGCAGAGCAGAGCAGAACAGAGCAGTGCAGAGCAGAACAGAGCAGAACAGAGCAGAACAGAGCAGAGCAGAGCAGAACAGAGCAGAGCAGTGAGTGACTCAGGCCTTTGTAAAGTAGGTTCCTGTGTCTGAGGGCTCGGGCCCATTTGAACACCCCAACAACATTCAGACCACGTATCATATATTCAGACAGCTCTCTCCCGCTATTTCTCTATTTCACGCACAACTGCTCCCATATCCATCAGGGCCCTCCTCTGATGTTCTGAAACCAAAGCTTTACAGGGGAGAATGATTTAACATCCTGTATGACAAAGTATTACCAAAGGAACCGGAATACCCAAGGAACATATCAAACTGAGAAAATAATCAGAGTAAAAAAATACTTGAATTTAAAGTCACTTTAACAGCACCCTGCTTTGCAATCTAGGCCGAGTGCATCACCACGCTCATGTTCAAAAACGTTTTACAACGTAAAACTTAAATATTTGTTCTAATTGGACAACTTCAAGTAGTAACTCCTGGTTTGAAAACGTTTTCTCTCTACAGAACACTACTTATCCCTACTTTCCCAGTGTTTATAATGTGTGATATGTGCTATGTGATATGAAGTTAGTGCTGTCGGTGCTGTATGTGTCTATATATTATAATCTCATACACACATATTGCCTGACCTTTCAGACACAGTAGCAGAAGCAGTAGCAGCACAGATCGACCTCGACGGAGGCAAGACTACCTGGTACACAAAGCTCTCTACCCACACAAACATCTATTCTACATGCTGCGGCGCTCAGAGCACTACACACACACACACACACACACACACACACATACATTATTAGCCAATGTTCAATCATTTGAAAATAAATTGGACGAGCTAAGATTACGGTTATCCTACCAACGGGATATTAAAAACGGTAATATCTTATGTTTCACCGAGTCGTGGCTGAACGACGACATGGATAACATACAGCTGGTGGTAAGACAAGGGGTGGCGGTGGGTGTATATTTGTAAACAACAGCTGGTGCATAAAATCTAATTATTTTCTTTAAAAACTACATTGTTGGTTAAGCGCTTGTAAGTAAGCATTTCACTGTAAGGTCTACACCTGTTGTATTCGGCGCATGTGGCAAATACAATTTGATTTGATTTGATTTGATACATACCAACCACACACAAATCACACAGTCCAGACCACGCTAGTCGAACAAGACACAAAGGGAAACTACATCCCCTCTTCAACAGGCTGAGAGGTTAACAATGTGTAGCTGTACTAAAGCTGACTGATGACAACGTGCTGTATGTGGTGAGTCAGCTAGTTCAACTCAGTACAGTTACACTGTATCACTTTAATGGCCATAGACAAAGACACTTACAGGTAGTTACACCAAATTGCCTCAGTAAATATCCCCATGGTAGAAATGGTGGACATGGTAGAAATGGTAGCTGCCTGCGTATGCTACTATGGATAAACTAACAAGCCAAGGAGATGATTGCTAATCATTACTGTAGTGTGTATATACTATATGATCAATACCTTTATGTCTCTGTTTCTGCTGACAGAGGTACAGTCCATTACATTGATTGACCTTATGAGGACCTCCCAATAAGAGCTATATACATTACCCAATTCATTACATTTACCCAATACATTAACGCCGTCCCAAAACAACTTAACAAATCAAACGAGAGAAAGCCATGCAGTGCCAACTACCAATATTGCTATAGCATAATAACACCACCCTGACTCTGACAGAGTAGGTGGCAATTAGCCTATTATGGTGTACTCTGCATCCAATTTAAGATAGGCACCATAAAGGAAAACTCCACCCAGAAACTATATTTTGGTATTTGTTACATTAGTGAACAACTACACTAGATGCTTTCAGACCACAAATACTGTATTGTTGACATAGTCCCAAAATGTTTTGCTTGTCAGCAATCAAGTTTTCAAGATATCTAACTTTCAGAACACAGAAATCATCACCGTATGATGCATTTTGCATCATATGATGCTGCGTTTTGCATTATATGATGCAAAATGCATCATACGGTGATGATTTCTGTATTTTGAAAGTTACATATCTTGACAACTTGATTGCTGACAAGCAAAATATTTTGGGACTATGTCAACAATACAGTATTTGTGGTCTGAAAGCATCTAGTGTAGTTCATAAATGTTTCGACTGGTCCAAACTCAGTGATTCATGGCTAAGAATTCATTACTACTTATACCATCACTATCTCTAGCCTACGGTTTATCCTGCCCATATCAAACACCTAAACCCCAGCCTTCCTCAAACTCCCTCTATGACCCTCACCAGCCAAATCCACAGTCCCAGCCCTAATCTCTATCCCCTCTCAACCAAACAAACAAACCAACCAAGCCCAACCCTAACCCAACCCAACCAAGCCCAACCCAACCAAGCCCAACCCTACCCAACCCAACCAAGCTCAACCCAACCCAACCCAACCAAGCCCAACCCAACCAAGCCCAAACCAACCCAACCCAACCCAACCCAACCAAGCCCAACCCAACCCAACCCAACCCAACCAAGCCCAACCCAACCTAGACCCAGTAGTACCAGCCCAAGCCCTGAGGAGTCTCACCGTCTAGCTCCTCCACAGAGATGCTGGCCAGCTGGTCACTGTCGTTGTCCTCAGACAGAGAGTGATTCAGGTAGTTCCCCTTGTACAGCAGCCCTGCCGTCACATGGTGGAACGGCATCTTGTCCCTGAGTGAGCGAGAAAGGGTTGGGGGATTAGTTTAGGATCAGTGAGATCAGAACATATGAGAGAGAGAGAGAGAGAGAGAGAAATCTAATGTAAAAAATCTAAATGACATGAACATGAGACCCTTACATAATCCTTACATAATGTTACAGTATGTCCATACAGTAATTATGCACATTTGGAATACCTTTCAAATAGAAAGATAAACAACATGCTAAGTCAAAAGTTGACCCTTAATTTAAGACTGATAACTACCTTGAGTTATCTTTTTCCCATGTGATATGATCAAAAAACACAATACAGACAAAACAAGCAGAAAGTGATGATGTCCATATTTTCAGATCCCAAAGTAGTAGTAACACTCTCCCACTTGGTCGCAGGTTCAGGAATGGCTGAAGAATTGCAACATTTACCTGGAGCTAACTCTGCAAATAGCACTGCTGGTTGACTTGAAAAGCCATAGTCAATCGATCAATAATAAAATAATACTCTTAGCAAAAATGTTTCTTTAATTTACAATCTGTAGAAACTATGAGAATAGAAAGGTTCAGAACTTTTGTGAAACATCACAGCACATTTGAAAAATATATGGCAATTAGAAATCAAAACTGGATTGTTTTCAGAGATAGATGGGAGGGGTTGAGGGTAGCTGAAAAAACAAGAAACAAAACAGAAAAGATAACTAATAAAATAATACTGTGTCTGTAAAATGTATATATACTGAACAAAAATATAAACGCAACATGCAACAACTTCAATGCTTTTACTGAGTTATAGTTCATACAGTGGCTTGCGAAAGTATTCACCCCCCTTGGCATTTTCCCTATTTTGTTGCCTTACAACTTGGAATTAAAATTGATTATTGGGGGGGGTTTGTATCATTTGATTTACACAACATGCCTACCACTTTGAAGATGCAAAATATTTTTTATTGTGAAACAAACAAGAAATAAGACAAAAAAACAGAAAACTTGAGTGTGCATAACTATTCACTCCCCCCCACTCTATAAGCTTGGCACATGTAGCCACTAGGATTTCTGCCCATTCTTCAAGGCAAAACTGCTCCTTCAAGTTGGATGGGTTCCGCTGGTATACAGCAATCTTTAAGTCATACCACATATTCTCAATTGGATTGAGGTCTGGGCTTTGACTAGGCCATTCCAATACATTTAAATATTTCCCCTTAAACCACTCGAGTGTTGCTTTAGCAGTATGCTTAGGGTCATTGTCCTGCTGGAAGGTGAACCTCCGTCCCAGTCTCAAATCTCTGGAAGACTGAAACAGGTTTCTCTCAAGAATTTTCCTGTATTTAGCGCCATCCATCATTCCTTCAATTCTGACCAGTTCCCCAGTCCCTGCCGATGAAAAACATCCCCACAGCATGATGCTGCTGTGTTCTTCGGGTGATGACAGGTGTTGGGTTTGCGTCAGATATAGCGTTTTCCTTGATGGCCAAAAAGCTCAATTTTAGTCTCATCTGACCAGAGTACCTTCTTCCATATGTTTGGGGAGTCTCCCACATGGCTTTTGGTGAACACAAAGTGTGTTTGCTTATTTTTTTCTTTAAGCAATGGCTTTTTTCTGGCCACTCTTCCGTAAAGCCCAGCTCTGTGGAGTGTATGGCTTAAAGTTGTCCTATGGAGAGATACTCCAATCTCCGCTGTGGAGCTTTGCAGCTCCTTCAGGGTTATCTTTGGTCTCTTCGTTACCTCTCTGATTAATGCCATCCTTGCCTGGTCCATGCGTTTTGGTGGGCGGCCCTCTCTTGACAGGTTTGTTGTGGTGCCATATTCTTTCAATTTTTTTATAATGGATTTAATGGTACTCCGTGGGATGTTCAAAGTTTCTGATATTTCTTTAGAATCCAACCCTGATCTGTACTTCTCCACATCTTTGTCCCTGACCTGTTTGGAGAGCTCCTTGGTCTTCGTGATGCCGCTTGCTTGGTGGTGCACCTTGCTTAGTGGTGTTGCAGACTCTGGGGCCTTTCAGAACAGGTGTATATATACTGAGATCATGTGACACTTAGATTGCACACAGGTGGACTTTATTTAACTAATTTTGTGACTTCTGAAGGTAATTGGTTGCACCAGATCTCATATAGGGGCTTCATAGCAAAGGGGGTGAATACATATACACGCACCACTTTTCCGTTATTTATTTTTTAGAATTGTTTTGAAACAAGTTATTTTTTTCATTTCACTTCACCAATTTGGACTATTTTGTGTATGTCCATTACATGAAATCCAAATAAAAATCAATTTAAATTACAGGTTGTAATGCAACAAAATAGGAAAAACGCCAAGGGGGATGAATACTTTTGCAGGCACTGTATAAAGGAAATCAGTCAATTTAAATAAATAAATTAGGCCCTAATCTATGGATTTCACATGACTGGGCAGGGTGCAGCCACCCACTTGGGAGCCAGGCCCACCCACTGGGGAGTCAGAATGTGTTTTTCCCCACAAAAGGGCTTTATTACAGACAGAGTAACTCCTCAGTTTCATCAACTGTCCGGGTGGCTGGTCTCAGACGATCACGCAGGTGAAGAAGCCGCATATGGAGGTCCTGGACTGGCGTGGTTACACGTGGTCTGTGGTTGTGAGGCCAGTTGGACGTACTGCCTAATTATCTAAAAGGATGTTGGAGGCGGCTTATGGTAGAGAAATTAACATTAAATTATCTTGCAACAGCTCTGGTGGACATTCTTGCAGTCACCATGCCAATTGCACGCTCCCTCAAAACTTGAGACATCTGTGGCATTGTGTTGTGTGACAAAACTGCACATTTTAGAGTGGCCTTTTATTGTCCCCAGCACAAGGTGCACCTGTGTAATGATCATGCTGATCATAATGATCATGCTGTTTAGCTTCTTGATATTTCACATCTGTCAGGTGGATGGATTATCTTGGCAAAAGAGAAATGCTCACTAACAGGGATGTAAACAAATGTATGCACAACATTTGAGAGAAATAAGCTTTTTGTGCGTATGGAACATTTCTGGAATCTTTTATTTCATGAAACAATTTACATGTTGTGTTTATATTTTTGTTCAGTATGTATAAACTGGAAGTAGAAGCCTAAGTATTGTTGTCCATTAGTTTACTCCAATTAGGGGAGGGGTGGTAGGGTTAGGGGAAAATAATAAAGAAGGAAAATTTATTTTATAATAAAATACAGTATATATTTAAAATAATATATACTTACAAAAAATATATATATGGGGGATTGGAAATGGTGCAGACAATTACATTGATCGAAGCCACAATCTATCTGCAATATTAAAGCTGATCTACCCCCCCATAAAAAAATGTAATAATAAATAATCTCTCCCACTGTGATGCCAGTATAACAAAGTAGAAGCCCAGGGGTATCACAGAATATAAATTAAAAACTGTCACGCCCTGGCTCTGGGGACTCTTATATGTTGAGCCAGGGTGTGGATTTTCTATGTTTTGTTTTCTATGTTTTTGTTTCTAGATCGTGTTGATCTATGTTGGCCAGGGTGGTTCCCAATCAGAGGCAGCTGTATCTCGTTGTCTCTGATTGGGGACCATACTTAGGCAGCCTTTTGGCATGTTAGGTTGTGGGATCTTGTTCCGTAAGGTTTTGTGTATAACCTAGGACTTCACGTATCGTTTCGTTTGTTGTTTTGGTTCGTATTAAGTACTGAATAAAGAATGTACGCTTATCACGCTGCGCCTTGGTCCGCTTCATCAGTCAGCGATCGTGACAGAAGATCCCACCACCAGAGGACCAAGCAGCGTGCCCAGGAGGAGAAGAGGGTGATGGCTCAGGTGGGCGAATGGTGGTCATGGGAGGACATATTCGCGGGCAGAGGGCCATGGGCAAATGTAAATGCCCAGGCAGGAGAGGAGAAACGGCGCCAACCGTGCCGACGACGGACACGCGAGAGGCAACCCCAATACATTTTTTTGGGGGGGCACACGGCGTGGACGACGGGGCTGCTGGAGGCAGCTACAGGGCGAATCGGCGGACTAGGAGAGGAGGCCACCATGTTACGGGGGCTATTGGTCACGAGGGAGAAGGAGAGTGTAGAGGCACGGCGAGAGGAACTGGTTAGGCAGCAGAGGGAGCGGAGGTTTAGAAGGAAACCCAGTCCCGCTCCTCGCACCAAGCAAGTGGTGTGTGTCACCAGTCCGGTCCGGCCCGTTCCTGATTGCCGCACAAGGCCAGTGGTGTGTGTTCCCAGTACGGTCCGGCCCGTTCCTGCTCCCTGCACTAAGCCTGTGGTGCGCGTCGCCAGCCCGGTCCGGCCTGTTCCTGTCCCTCGCACCAAGCCTGTGGTGCGCGTCGCCAGCCCGGTCCGGCCTGTTCCTGTCCCTCGCACCAAGCCTGTGGTGCGCGTCGCCGGCCCGGTCCGGCCTGCTCCTGTCCCTCGCACCAAGCCAGTGGTGCGCGTCGCCAGCCCGGTCCGGCCTGCTCCTGTCCCTCGCACCAAGCCAGTGGTGCGCGTCGCCAGCCCGGTCCGGCCTGCTCCTGTCCCTCGCACCAAGCCAGTGGTGTGCGTCGCCAGCCCGGTCCGGCCTGTTCCTGTCCCTCGCACCAAGCCTGTGGTGCGCGTCGCCAGCCCGGTCCGGCCTGTTCCTGTCCCTCGCACCAAGCCAGTGGTGCGCGTCGCCAGCCCGGTCCGGCCCGTTCCTGCTCCCCGCACCAAGCCAGTGGTGCGCGTCGTCAGCCCGGTCCGGCCCGTTCCTGCTCCCCGCACCAAGCCAGTGGTGCGCGTCGTCAGCCCGGTCCGGCCCGTTCCTGCTCCCCGCACCAAGCCAGTGGTGCGCGTCGTCAGTCCGGCACGGTCCGTGCCTGTTCCACCGGTGCCTGGTCCGGCACCGGTCAGCTGCTCCACTCCGGAGCCAGAGCAATCCGCTCCACCGGTGTTCAGTCCAGCTCCGGCCAGCGGGGCCAGACCAGACCAGGGGCGCAACGGGGGGGGTAGAGAGAGAGTGGTGGTCACGCCCGGAGCCGGATCCGCCTCCGAGGCGGAATGCCCACCCGGCCCCTACCCTGTTGTGTTGGTGTGGCGCGGTCGCAGTCCGCGCCTTTGGGGGGGGGGTACTGTCACGCCCTGGCTCTGGGGACTCTTATATGTTGAGCCAGGGTGTGGATTTTCTATGTTTTGTTTTCTATGTTTTTGTTTCTAGATCGTGTTGATCTATGTTGGCCAGGGTGGTTCCCAAACAGAGGCAGCTGTATCTCGTTGTCTCTGATTGGGGCCAATACTTAGGCAGCCTTTTGGCATGTTAGGTTGTGGGATCTTGTTCCGTAAGGTTTTGTGTATAACCTAGGACTTCACGTATCGTTTCGTTTGTTGTTTTGGTTCGTGTTAAGTACTGAATAAAGAATGTACGCTTATCACGCTGCGCCTTGGTCCGCTTCATCAGTCAGCGATCGTGACAAAAACAGAGAGAGAGAGAGAGAGAGAGCAGGGAATTGGCTTCTGTTTTGATTAGACACTGAGAGGAGGATGGGGGGATGCCTCTTGAAACTGAATGAGGAGTTGAAAGAGAAAGAAAAAACAATCCACTCTACCACTCAGAACCATGTAGCTTCCTCCGGGGGTGAATCTCATAGGCCAAAGGGTAAGGTGGGGTACACTTTCTCAGCTGAACACTCTCCGAACCACCACTCTCAATTGAGGGACATTTGTCATGGTTTGGCTTGCAACCACTCTCCAACTGAGCAATGTGTGACATGCTCTGTCTGGTTTCCAGCTTGCGAGCCATCCACCACACTTAAACATATAGCTACCGCCTACATCTATACCTTGCTTCCCTTAACCACACAGTCACCTCTGGGTTAATGCATTTTCTCTACGTACTGGGTTCAGCCATGTATGACCGTACAAGCAGTGTTGTTGCACTCAGTGGATCGAACAAGGCCCTATAATTGCAATAGCTACGTTCGTCATACCAACACCTTAATGGAACACACATCCCTCCTCAGAATGTAAGGTTGAGGTAAGGATCTGGAACTCAAAGCTTAGACTGATAAATCTAGTCCCGATCCATTTCTATATCACTTACAGTAGGTATGTGTTATTGATCTCTTCCTCTGTTAAAAATGTTGACAACAACAAAAACACACTGGGAGCGACTCGTAAAACTTCACAGCCACTTACATGTACCACCAACTTTTGGGGAACCAATTTGAGGATTCAGAGATGCATGCATCACACTGTGGTAAGAAGACATATGAAACTCAACAGATGAGTCTCTTCATTCAGAGTAAATAGTGATTAAGACTCTTCTTGTTTGTCAGCGAACACGAAAGTGAGTGTACCATTGAGTGTACCAAGATATCGCTTTTTGTGAGCTTTCAAGGTTGGCTTTCTTTGTTTCTTAATTAATCCATCAAAGAATAAACAACATTCATCTGTCACTGCTAATACAATCATTAGTCTTGTCTATTTTCCTGTAATTCTATAACTAGGCTAACTTATCTGTCTTGTGGCAATATTTCTCTAAGAATGTAACATACTACTGCACTCTCATCTATGAAATAATGCTGCACCCCATATAAACAGTATTGATAAACTGATTGACATTTTTAACAAGTTATCGTCGGGGTATTCAGGGCCACATTGTGTGCTAGTTTACATTTCTCTTGGGTACTTAATATCAATCAATGGCATTCCCTTGTGCAAAGAAATACAATTAGCTCACTTCAGTGTTTATTTATATTGTATCTCTATGGTCCTACTGTCCATTTGGATTTGTCTCACGTTTCTGACACTTTAAGAGCTACTTTGTGTAACAACCTTATGTAACCCAGAGCTTTGCAGCAGATATGGAGTAGAACACAGAGCAGGGTGAGGATAACCAGAGAGGTCCTTCCTACTTTGGGGGTCTCCTCCAGACCCAGGGGTAGGTTAGTGATTCTCTTCCCACAGCCCCTGTATCTCTGCAGATGGGGCATCGTGAGTCTGGCAAGTGAGAGTATAGGTTAGTAAACCTATGACCATGGATAACTGGAGCTACATGTAACTGAAACAAGATGTGTGTAGAAGTCCAGAGAGACAGCACAGAGTTGGACCAACTATACCATCCGCTACTGTACTGTATGCATAGTTCAAACAGCAGAACAGTGTTGGACAAACATCAGCGAGAGACAGAGTACACAAACACGCACACACGCACGCAGGCACACAAACACAGAGTTGGCTCCAGACACTGCAGTAGACCGACCAGAAGTGGCAACAAATCCCACTCTAGTACTTATTTTATTTTCATTATTTAGTGATTCAAATGCATAATGTTACCCCCCATTAGTTAAAATATAGGCGTACAATAAAGAAAGCAGAGGTGGTCTGGATTTCACTCTAAGATTTACAGCCTAATAAACCAGGCAGTAGAAATGCCTCATATTGAGATATAATCATTAGATCGAGCATCAATATTTCAGTGTTGTAGGCTAGACTCTCAGTATGCAAACTTTTGCCTCTAACACTGGAAGCAAGGCTGTATATTCTCTATGGCAGTTGTCTTTTTTACAGAGGTCTTCAAAAGATCTCACCTTTAATTTGCATTAGTAATAGACCGTAAAACAGAGACAATCTGTAATGTATACCAATACATCATAGCCCAAACAGAGCACTAAATTGGGAGGGAAATCAGGACAGTGTACAGCACTATCTGTAGTCAACAGTCCATAGCGACAATTCCTTTTACAGTAGCAAAAACAAGACCTAACTGTAATGGTTCTGTGAGACTGAACACAATGTACTGTACGTTGGGGCGGCAGGTAGCTTAGTGGTTAAGAGCATTGTGCCAGTAACCTAAAGGTCGCTGGTTCTAATCCCCGAGCCGACTAGGTGAAAAATCTGTCGATGTGCCCTTGAGCAAGGCACTTAACCCTAATCGCTCCTGTAAGTCGCTCTGGATAAGAGCGTCTGCTAAATGACTAATTATTAATTATTACATAACGACTTGTCATATACCCATCACTAATAGCAAACTCATTACTAATGGTGTGCTTTAAAACCAACCTGAGAGAGAGAAGCTACATTCCTCCTGCTTGGAATATTATGCATCAGGGCCCACTGCATCACTAGACCACAAATTATACTGTCTATTACGGCTTGCCCTCAGGGAGTGGGTCAGAAGGCTATGCAGATGTCCTGGGGGAGAGAGGGGGAGGCAAGGTATGACCATTAGCCTGCCACCTACAGGGGGACCTAACCTCAGTCCTATGGGAGCGCTGGAAGGCATGACTAATCAACCTGTGTCTCACTTAGGATTGTGCCTGTGTCCAGAGGCTAGGCATGACACCAATGCTTTGAGGCATATATAGGGGAGCAAGGCATGACGAATCAACCTGCTGCTTAAAGACCAAAGCTGTGTGTCCAGACTCCAGAGGGTAGGCATGACTGAGCACGCCCCCCATTCTCATCGACAGGGCTGTAGTGGAACAGGTTGAGAGCTTCAAGTTCCTTGGTGTCCACATCACCAACAAACTATCATGGTCCAAACACACCAAGACAGTCGTGAAGAGGGCACGACAAAGCCTATTCCCCCTCAGGAGACTGAAAAGATTTGGCATGGGTCCTCAGATCCTCAAAAAGTAATACAGCTGCACCATCGACAGCATCCTGACTGGTTGCATCACCGCCTGGTATGGCAACTGCTCTGCCTCCGACCGCAAGGCACTACAGAGGGTAGTGCGTACGGCCCAGTACATCACTGGGGCCAAGCTTCCTGCCATCCAGGACCTCTATACCAGGCGGTGTCAGAGGAAGGCCCTCAAAATTGTCAAAGACTCCAGCCACCCTAGTCATAGACTGTTCTCTCTGCTACCACACGGCAAGCGGTACCAGAGCGCCAAGTCTAGGTCCAAAAGGCTTCTCAACAGCTTCTACCCCCAAGCCATAAGACTCCTGAACAGCTAATCATGGCTACCCGGACTATTTGCACCCCCACCCCATCTTTTTACGCTGCTGCTACTCTGTTAATTATTTATGCATAGTCACTTTAAGTCTACCCACATGTACATATTACCTCAACTACCTCAACTAGCCGGTGCCCCCGCACATTGACTCTGCACCGGTAACCCCTGTATATAGCCTCCCTACTGTTATTTTATTTTACTTCTGCTCTTTTTTTCTCAACACTTTTTTGTTGTTGTTTTATTTTACTTTTTTATTAAGAAATAAATGCATTGTTGGTTAAGGGCTGTAAGTAAGCATTTCACGGTAATGTCTACACCTGTTGTATTCGGCGCATGTGGCAAATACAATTTGATTTGATTTGATTTGATGACTAATCATACTGCAGCCTGACTGCAGGCAGCAGCAGTTATGCATTAGCCTTCTCTGTGACGTCCGGGGAGACGTGATGGCCATTCCTCACTTCCAACGTCACAGCACGCACACACACAAAGTACATTTTATGATGGAGTTAGACAACGTAATGTATGGTGTTGAGATACTCTGAATTGGATCAGACCAACAAAAAATTATCATAGGGTCACACTAAACAAAATTCACACCAAACTTATGGAAGATGCAATTCATGTGCAAAATCTTACAAACTTAAGTTGAATCTCACATATACTTTAAGTTACAGTGCAGCAGCAGGTACACAGCACAATGCAAAACAGCCAACAGCCAAGGTCGTAACTGTTATATAGTTAGCTGGTGCTGAATATTCATCCTGTAGTTTATATTCATAGTTCCTTCTGCTCCAGAGAGGGCAAAAGACAAACCCTCATCACACTGCTTTAAAACATCTCTAGTTATGAAAATCCTTCACCGATGTGTACAGTATACATAGCCAAAAAAAGGAATGATGATGATGTTGATCGATCCTACACACACAGTAAGCAATGATACTGTAGAAATAGAAATGAAGGTTGAGGATTGACACTGGCCAATGTTGCCATGGCTGACAGTTGATATCAGATCATAACCTGTCCATGCTTATTGACAACACAATTTACTCCCTCAGCAGTCTCTATTGAAGAGTTGTGTCAACACATCACTAAACCCAGAGCCTACATAATGCCTCATTCACCATGACTAGTCTGGTGTAAATAAATACAGTATACAGTATTAAGCCTTTAGCCACCTACTGAAGGTAAGGTGCAGCGGAGTGACAACAGTAGTACCTCTGCTGCGTTTCCTCCAGCAGAGGAGTCTAAATGGCACAATGACATGATACATTTCCTCATGATAAATTAAAATGGCCAATTTGGGTGCGACCAATTAGCTCAAAGATCAAATTATTTTCCGGAATGCTTATTTTTATTTACAGAACCGATTTCAAAACAATCTGAGATGGTGGGTGTCATGGCTTGCTGAAATGACATTGAATGACTCCTTTGAGTCATCATCTGAAATGAGCTATACGGTTTTAATCTGAACTTTAAAAACCTTTCAATACAGCCATTAAATACTAGCCGCTCAAGGACAGACTATGATTGAAGACAACTGATGTTAAAGTATACCACCAATATTGATTACAACTATGTTATTACATAGTCAAGTGACAAAGGAAAGATACCTAAATAAATAGTCGGCAACTTTAGTATACTGTGTGAAAAGACAGCCAGTCAATTCCTAGTCCCACACAGGAAGGGAAGTAATACTTCCTAACTGCCAGCCCAGTCTACTACACAGGTTAAACGTGTATATGAGCAGACGGTTGTTGGAGATCCCAGTTTCCCAGTCCCTGCTGTTCTGTTGCTTACCCATACTGATCCCCATACTCTGTGGTGGGGTACAGATGCAGCGCAACAGGCTCCTTCACCGGGCTCTCCATCAGGTCTCTGGGGGTAGGGGTTCCTGAGCCCGGTAACTCTCCCTCTCCTTCTACCTCAGGTACAGGCTCCTCTGTCCGACTCAGAGGCTCCTGCTCCGTCACCTCCTCCATCGGACGGCTCTGCAGGCAGAGACTCCTTGTCCTAAACACAGCAGCAGCAGCAGGCTGCCTGTCCCCAGACAACTGAGCCCGACTGCTGCCTCCCAAATTTGGCAGCAGCATCAGTATCCGGAAATCCGTTGTTAATATTTGAGCCATGGAAGTGGTTCCCTCACTCACTCACTCACTCACTCACTCACTCACTGACTCACTTTACTGACTCTCTCTCCCATTCTCTCTCTCTCACTCACTCACTCATTCACTCAAACATTCCTCCACATGGGGAAACAAGGTTGAAGACTCATTAGTGAGTCCCAATGACTGCCACTGCCTTTCGTCTGCGGCTGCGCTGGCGCTCACACCTAGCAGAGTGTATTCACAGCATGTCGCCGCATCCTGCGCGACAACAGAAGGTCGCAAAAGGCTACCTGGTGCGCGACATGCTTAAAAATACGTGACATGCAACGATAAGCAAGCATAAAAAGCGGTGACACAGGCTCAGAGGAGCTCCCATAGCGCCTCACAGCCCCCGCAGGAGGGACAATCGGCTCGCTGAGGCAAGGTGTTCTAACGAAATGTGTGAAAACAGAAATTCACACCTCCAGTACATCACAGCTCTCCAGAAGAACTTCCGGTAAATTGTTAACAACACACTCATCATCAGGATGATAGAGGGTCAGTGTTGACATGGAATTATCTCATAATCATAATGCATTGGGATCAATTATCAGTCTCCATCAGTCACTGAAATGTCATGGCATTTTGCTTGGTCTTTTCTTATTTACACTGAAATGTGCAGTGTCTTGTGATCAAAATTGAAAATAACTCGCCAATTCATGCCATGGTAGGCCTGCCCTACAATATCGAAATTATGATACAGTGATGTGATTAGCCTACAGCTTTTCTCTTCACAATGTCAAAATAAATGTTTTATTTATCGATTTTCAAATATAGCCTATTCTCTATCATAATAACACCAATAGAGACATGTAATTATGATGGTCTGATGAAGACTTTGCTATTAATTAAGCCTACTCTGAAATAAAGCCAGAGGATGAATTCGATTCCATTTGAAAGATATAGCCCAAATTTAAGCGATTTGAAAATTCTAACATTATACTGAAACTGTCACTCCATCCAACATTATATTCACTCCATCGAAGAATGGCCAATCATACTAGACAGAGGAACGTAGGCTATTAAATAACAACAAGTGTATAACAACCACCTTGTCTAAGGCAGTCGAAAATAGGCTATTTCCAATGGGTACCGAGAAGTTCAAATGTTACTGAATATGATTAAAATGTTATCTTGAATTCCAGACTTACCTTTTAGGAGAGCAGTGGGTTGTCTTTGAAAGCGATTAATCAAATCCGTAATCGACAGGATCCCCGAGTTAGACGCACTTGGATCCAGTTTAAATACCTCGCCTGAATGCTCATAAATGTTGGTCGTTTTTTATCGTTGAAATAAAATAATCAATTTTAGCTACAATGTGGAACCATTTCTCCACCACAACAAAATGATGCGTTGGTTGGTCGTCTTTCTATTGACAAATCCATGCGTAGCCTACTGGGCACAGTCACTGCCCCAGTTCCAGCCGGCGCAATTGAACAGTTGCACTTTTGGACCAAGTCCCATCAAATCTAACAGCCTCTATCAGTCCACACCATATCCATTTGCTACATTGATATTAGTTGCTCACTGCTTATAAAAGTAACCCAAGCCGTTTGTTTCGTGTAACTGTCCTATAGCTGGCAGATGTATTGGTGCCGAACGCCTGGAGAGATTGATGATAGAACCTTCAGCGGCTTTCAAGGCGAAGCTCCTACACAATCAATCTCTCAGAAGTTCGGTGTTTGACGGTTGTTTGCCCCGCTGATCCACGTTTTGATGTAAATTCTAGGTTTTTCTATGGAAAAACAGTTCCCATCCTTGTGAAAATGGTTGTCATAATTTCTTCTTCCACAGGCTGTTGTTAACCAATGTGCCGCCCGCGCTCAACAAGGAGAGACTGACCAGGCGAGAGTCATTACTCAACTGGTTTAGCACAGCCTAGTATCTGTTAGGTCTGCGCGCCTTATTAAAAAGTGGGCTCATTTGCATCCCAATCTGCATCCCAATTTGGAAATGTAGGAAGCTCCAAAATAAATGACAACAATTATGAAATGTTTTATCTTATACAATTAGGGAACTTTAATATCAATAAAATAAAACAAAAATTGATGTTGAAAGGACTAATATAGCCTATCAATTGTCATTGTCACGGTTTCGGCCGAGGCTGCTCCTCCTCCTTGTTCAGGCAGGTTTTGGCGGTCGTAGTCCCGGAGTACTAGCTGCCACCGATCTATGATCTATGTTTCATGTTCGTTTGGTTTTGTCTTGATGTTGTACACCTGTGTCTAGTTCAGGGGTGTCAAACTCATTTTAGCTCAGGGGCCACATGGAGGAAAATCTATTCCCAAGTGGGCCGGACCGGAAAAATCATGGTATATATAACTTAAAAACAACAACTTCAGATTGTTTTCTTTGTTTTAATATGATCAACATACAACATAAAGCTGGAGCCTGAGGACAGTGTGTCCAAAATAGTACAAGCACAACATCACTATTAATCATAAAACACGTCAAGTTTATTTGAAAATTCTAAAGAAAAAGAACACACAAACACACAATGCCTCAGTGATTAACAGAACTGTTTCACAGATCACAGAACTATATCAGGGTGTCATTTCTCAGGCAGAAATGTAGATAAAAATAATGAAATCCTGTTCCCCAAACAAGTGCAAGAACCACAGAGTCAAGAATAGGTTAAATATACAAATAAAATCAATTAAAAACAATAGCACATCAACATAAAAACATCAACATAAATCTGAAAGCGTTGCTCAAACTCCCGTAACAGTCCCGTTATTTTATCTTTGAACCGCTTCATGTCTGCCACATGTTGGGTCGCGCACACATTTTTCAGACAGGGGAAGTGAGCTGCATCACCACCGGCAAGTTGCGTCTCCCACAATGACAGCTTCAACTTGAAAGAACGTATGCTGTTATAATACTGCGTGACAACTTTGTTGTGCCCTTGCAGCTGTTTGTTCAAGTTATTCAGGTGCTCTGTAACATCCACCATAAATGCAAGGTCCTGCATCCATTCTGCGGAATGAAATTCTAACACTGGTTTGCCCTTTTCTTCCACGAACTGTTCCATTTCTTCTCGTAAATCAAAGGCTTAACCATCTTACCTCAGTGTGGTATGGCAGGCCATAGCTGTGGTCTTTCTCTCTGAGAAGGCTGTCAAACTGACGGTGATTCAGGCTTCTGGATCGGATGAAATTAACAGTTTGGATGACCACCTTCATGACGTTATCCATCTTTAATGACTTGCAACACAAAGCCTCCTGGTACAAAATACAGTGAAAAGTCAAAAAATCACGTCCTCCATTTGCAGATTGCACTTTCTCTCTGAACTTTGTCACAACGCCTGCTTTTTTCCCGATCATTGAGGGCGCACCATCTGTAGCCAGGCTGACAGCGCGGGACCAGTCCACTCCGACCCTGTCCAGCGCGCCGACGAGTGCGGTAAAAATATCAGCTGCTGTCGTTTTATCTGTCATCGGCACCAACTCCACGAACTCCTCGGTGACGGTCAATGTGTCATCAACTCCACGGATGAAAATGGCCAGTTGTGCAACATCTGTAATGTCCGTGCTTTCATCAATTGCAACCGAAAACGCAATAAATGACTTTACTTTTTGCTTCAACTGGCTGTCCAAATCCACTGAAAGATCAGAAATCCTGTCTGCAACTGTGTTTCTTGTCAGGCTGATATTTGCAAAAGCCTGCCGCTTTTCAGGGCACACAATCTCCGCTGCCTTCATCATGCATGTTTTTACAAATTCACCCTAACTAAATGGTTTTGAAGCCACTGCGATTTCATTAGCAATGAGGTAGCTAGCTTTCACTGCAGCGTCACTGATGTCTCGGCTGTGAGTAAACACAGACTGCTGTTTCTTCAGACCCGCCAACAGTTCATTCACCTTCTCTCATCTCCGCTGTCCTTGAAAGTTGTCATATTTGTCGGCATGAAGACTCACATAGTGGCGACGAAGGTTATATTCTTTCAGCACTGCAACATGCTCTGAACACACCAAACATACAGCTTTCCCATTCAATTCCGTGAATAAATAGGATGACCATTTTTCTTGGAACACTCTGTGTCCACTTTTCTCTTTTTTGACAGAGACATATTGGGGCAATGAGGGTGCCAAAGCACATAATGTTAAAAGTAGGAGCCGTAATAAATATCGCGGGCAAAACAAAGTAGCTCATTGGCTGCACGTGCTTGACCTACTTGCTCTGCCCCGGTATAAACAGTTTGCTTGCTTAACACAATTGCTATTGCGCCATCCAGTGGACGCATTGGAACAGCAGTTTATATTATAGAAAAATTGCAGCTCATTTTTATACTTTACAAAAAAATTATATATATATATATTTTTTTTTTTTCTTCTTTTTTTTTTTTCTAAATCATCTCGCGGGTCGGATTAAACCCGTTTGCGGGCCTGATCCGGCCCGCGGGCCGTACGTTTGACACCCCTGGTCTAGTTAGTCCTCATTAGTGTCCTATTTAGTTCTCGTTGTGTGTGTATGGTGTTGTGTGTGATTGCTCTTCTGTTTGGTGTTCTGAGCTACGTATCTTCCCTCCATTGTTTGGAGAGGTTTTCGCACTTGTTAGTGCGCCTTTTGTTTGACGCCTGTGTGCGCCTTTATTTCGTCTCCGGGCTTATTGTTCTCGTGTACTACGTGAATAATTCACTAAAGTCTTTTGGACTTAGCTTCTGCGTCCTGCGCTTGATTCCTGCACCACACCCACCTTCAGCACCCCTGACAGTCTCCATATACATTTGAGTAAATTTAGATTATATGGTGATTGGTCACCTAAATCCAGCTCATTCATGTTCTTCAGTACTTCATTTTATCTTCCTTTTGGGTGTTCTAGACTTTCAGGCTATTCATTTTCAGAAGATTAAACGCACTGTATAATTATCATTCCAGAGACTCCTGTTGCAACATTATAGCCTGCATGAATAGAGAGAGATTGCTATAGATTTCACAGCCAACAG